GATGTAGGGCGAGAGGGGAATTTGTCGAGCCGAGGTGCATCTCCCCGACGCGAGCGGGGTTGGAACATGGTACAAAGTCGCCCAGCAGGAAAAGCAATTCCCATCCCTCGATTCACCGCATTTCACTTCCCCTGAACTCGTTATATTACCACTCACTCTCATCATGCCCTCCAATTACGCTCACCATGTGGGGAATCATGATTATACCCGTGCTACTGTCGTGATTATCGGGGCTGGCGTATCAGGTACAACATGATCCCCTTGCTTGTGACCCGGGGAATTATAAACTCTGTCGCTCACAATCTCCCAGGGATATGCATGGCCATCGAGCTCCTCCGTCGAACCCCCATCCGAAAGTTCGTCATACTCGAGCAGGGAAGCGCTGTAGGAGGAACCTGGGCCAACAATCTCTACCCGGGCTGTGCCTGCGACGGTCAGAAGCGACCGGCCTAACATGGTCGCGCGTATAGATAGCTAACAGCCGTGTAGTCTGGAGCGCCCTGTACAGCTATTCATTTGAGCAGCGTCCCGACTGGACGGCAGAGTATCCGGCGCAGGAAGAGTTTCTGGTAATCCTGTCTTACTTGCAACGCATATAAGATGCTGACGCACCTGTAGGCATACCTCACGGATATTGCTCAGAAACACGGCCTCTATCAATACATCCGGTTCAACTCGACCGTACAAGAAGCCCGATGGGACGACGAGCAACAGCAATGGAAGGTCCAGGTGGCCCTGAATGGCACTAAGGCTAGCGAATTTCATGAGGAATATGAACTCACTACAGACTTCCTGGTATCCGCCGTCGGACAACTCAATGTGCCCAGCTATCCCTCCATCCCGGGTCTGGATGATTTTACCGGCAAGTTGATTCACTCAGCCAGATGGGACTGGACCTATGACTTCTCCGGCAAACGAATTGCGGTGATCGGAAATGGTGTTTACTCCATCCCCACTAGAAGATCCATTATCATATACTGACAGCCGTGACAGGCGCCTCGGCAATCCAAATTGTCCCTGAAATAGCCAAAACAGCCTCTCATATAACCATCTACCAACGTAGTCCGAAATGGGTCGTTCCACGCTTTAACAAGCCGGTTGGCGCTTCCCAGCAGTTCCTACTGTCATATGTACCACCCGTGCGCTGGTGCAAGAGAGTCCTGCAGATGCGTTTTCGAGAATGGTCATACAATGTTCTTGTCACCCCCGGCACAGTCCCAGCCCGCGAAGCTGAAGAAGCTGCAAAGAAATGGATGAAAACCCAGTTGCCCGACAAGCCTGAATTGTGGGACACCTTGACCCCCAACTATGCCATTGGATGCAAGCGCATCCTCATTTCCGACGACTTCTACTCAGCGTTGAACTCGAGTCACGTTGACCTCAATACCAAGCCAATCCAACGTATCACGGCCACGGGTGTACAAACGGACGGTGATGAGCAGGAGTACGATCTCATCGTGTTGGCCACAGGATTCCGTGCTTCGGAATTCCTGCACCCGATCCGGGTGTATGGTGCTGGGGGCCGGTCACTGGAAGATATTTGGAAGGGCGGACCAAAAGCTTATTATGGCATGACGGTCGAGGATGTGCCGAATTTCGGCATGCTCTACGGACCCAACACAAACTTGGGTATGCCCATCCTTCCATCAAGTCCTTTAGGAGTACATACACTGACAGAGATAGGCCACAACTCCATCATCCTCATGATTGAAGCGCAATCCCGATACATAACCACCCTGATCCGAGCCGTAGCCGATGCAAAGAAAAAGGACCAAACACTGGTTATTCAACCCCGCCCAGAAGTGCTACGCGAATACAACTTTCGGGTCCAGAAACAGTTGGCAGAAACCAGTTTCGCTGACCCCAACTGCCAAAGCTGGTACAAGACTGATGAGGGCCTGATCACGAACAACTGGCCACTCAAGGTGGTGGAGTACCAGAAGGAGGTGTCTCAGGTGCGATGGACGGACTTTATTGTTAAGGGAGATGGAGCTGCGGCAGTGGAGAAGAAGAAGGTGACGCATCTTGGTCGGGTTAAGGAGGAGGTGCTGGTTAGTAATCTCACGTTGTTCCTGGGGGTGGCTTTGGCGGCTGGAGGAGTTTACTGGCGTGCTACGAGGGGATGGAAGTGGTAGGCTTTAGGCTGCTGCTTTGTGATACGGATCTATTGTAATTTCTTCAATCGAGACGGTGAATTAGCATGCTCGTTTTCCTAAGTAGAGTGATGCCTCTTGTAGAAAGTATGTGTCGATGGGTCTGATCCGCCCATGGTTTCTTTATTTCGCCATTTTTCTAGATAGCCTGGACCATTACACCTCACTATGCCAATATATAAACATCTATCCAAACAAAAATCTGAGCCCCTCAAGCCACCTCCCAGAGCGTCTAGAAGCTGGAACCTCCGCAGCAACAATTTCAGCTATCCCAGTCACCAGATCCACCTCTTCACATGAAATCAACCAAGCCCCTTCCCACCCAGTATACAATCTATGCCCCAAATAAAAGACCACAAAAATAGGAACCCCCACATACGAAGTAACAAACGTCGAGGTATCCCACTGCCCCGGAAAAAACACCGTAAACCCATTCAACCACAACAACAAGAAGATCACACAGCCAGCAAAATATGCAGCATATGGCTGAAACCTCGACCGATACGGCAATTCCGCAACATCAAGCCCCTGCACCGCCGTGGCTTTACGAAAGCGGATGTATATAACGCAGACACACACCCAGCTTACATAGGCACCGCTATTCACGAGGTTGACGAACCAGTTGAAAACTGTTGCGGCGGAGGAACTGACGTTCATGTAAGCGAGGAGGGATAATAACGAGGTAAATCCTAGAGAGATGTACGGGACACCTGATGCTGTACAGCGTTTGAAAATCTTAGGCGCAGTGCCGAGAGTCGCCATGGAATATAGTGTGCGAGTGGCGAGGTATAGCCATGAGTTTCCGGCCGACCATGCTGATAATAAGATCACGATGTTGATTACCGAGTCGAGACATTTTATACCTGCGTTTTTGGCTGCGATCGCCCAGGGAGAGGCACTGGCGTCGCTGCTGCTCCCTAGTAGCTGGTTGTTGTTGCTCGGGCAGATCAGACCTATGAGGAAGGCACCGAGGATGTAGAAAATGACGAGTCGGATAAAGAATCGCCGTCCGGCTGTGGGGAGGTTTTGCCGTGGATTTTGCATCTCTCCTGCTGTGATGACTAGGAGCTCTGGTGTGAAGGCAAAAATGTAGACGGAGAAGCGTAGCGTTGCGATGAAAGCGACTAGTCGCCCTGAGGCTCCACTGACGATGTACTCATTGGTAGCTCCAGGGCTATGCCAGTAGGCGAAGCCTATTGCTTTGTGATTCGGGGCACCGCCGCAGGTGATGACCAGGGCCATGATGAAGAGCCCGATGATGCCAATGAGTTTGATCGACGCGAACCAGAATTCCGTCTCTCCGTATACATTGACCGGAAAGCAGTTAAGTCCGACAATCACCACCAACATGATTGTGATCCATACAGCGATATTCACAGAACTAGGCCAGTAATCAATGACGAGCGCTGCGGCAGTAATCTCTGAAGGGACCATGATGGCGAAGACGTAGTAGTACATCCAGCCTAAGGCAAACCCCATACTACTCGACACGATTCTATGGCCGAAGTAGGCAACGGATGAGCCACGGACTGGAAGGAAGGGGCTGAACTCGGTTGTCGCAGTCACTATGCAGAAGACCAGCAGCGTTAGGAGAGAGTAGCCCAGTAGAAGGAACAGCGGGCCCCCGATGCTTAGGGATTCACCACTGCCGATGAACAGTCCGGTTCCGATAGCACCACCAATTGCTATCATTCGGGTGTGGCGCGGTTTGAGACCTCTGACGGTCTCGACCTGGATGATGTTTTCCACTTGACCTTCCTTTTGTGATGGGATTTGGTAAAGTCCATTCTCTATATCTGTTGAGAGGCCTGCTTTGGTCACGTCTGCTGTGTGGATCGGGGCATTGTGGCTGGAAATTGGTTTTGAATCCGACATTGTGTGCTTGTGCGATGGCCTTCCCTGGATGGAAGTGATTGACTTCGATAGATTCGAGTCAAATCTCATAGTGGTCATTGTGCTATAAGTATCTAGAGATTCTATATCTGGCTATCAGCGTAATCTGGACTTTCGATAGCGTTGTGTACAGCATCTTGCATAAGGTGACTCGGCTCTGTTCAATCAGAGGCCGTGCGTGATATGTTATCAACATATACCAAGACGGTCCAATGATATCGTACAAAGCTTGAATATCAATGCCAAGGTGACAAGTACAACAGAGATAAGAGCAAGAGGAATCGCAAGCCCGTCCCGGAAGTCAATATGTTGAGCTCAGCCGTTGCGGGGAAAGGTGCCAGATATGACTCGGCTCCCGGGCTCTGGCTAATACATCGTGGTGGATTATTCCTGCATGTGTTAGAACTTGCGTTCATGCAGTCGTGAATTGCAATATTGGATTTATTGTTTGTTCATGCCGTCTTGTTAATGCTTGTGCTTTGTATGCGCAGCCGAGCGTTTTGATGTTGATTCGGAATATCAGTAGCAAACGTAAAGCCAGGGCACTTTGGTCTAGTAACAGGCCATTATAGCTTATTTTCGGTCATTCAACTTCTCATTCATTCAACAGAGTATCTTGCCATAGTACTCAAAGCTGGTCGGATTGTGTTGAATCTCCATAATATAAATTTTTCAGTGTATTATCACCTAATTAGAAATCCGACATAAGTGAGAAAATATCCCCCATATGTTGCTCTTTTCCTTTCTCATCTTCCTCTATTTCAGCATTGTTTTCAGGCAATACATCTGCTTATAACTGTGTCTATTTGGTCGAGGGTACAAATGTGTGACAGATGGCCAAGTATCAGATTTTTTTCGATAGCTTCTGAAGCGCATGCGATGTTTTATCTATTCAGAAGAACGACAGACTAAGGATTCCACCTATTGTCGAAGCCTATGAGCAACGTAGCATACCTAGACCAACCTCCGTTGCTTTAGATATTCGTAATCAGGCATTGCCTCGTGAACCCATTGGAGAATAAAATCGGCCACCTCGTCGCCAAATTCGAGTTTCCACCTTTCCGCTTCCGATGCAATATCGACAACCTCGGGCGCCTTCTCTTTCAACACCCCGGAAGATGTTATCAGAGTTGATCTCATGGTAATTCTAGCTTTCTCAAATATGGAGTCTTGCTCGCAAGTATTATCACCTGACCAGGCTTCATTTTCGGCACAGACACTATCCCACTCGAATTTTAAGACTGTGGGATCTAGTCCCATCTGTTCACAGAATTTTACCATAGCGCCTTTATTGTGGATAAGGTCAGAGGCATCCAAGATAATTGGATGCGCCTGTCCCCCCCGAAGAACACACCAATCATATAGCAACCGTGTCTAGCGTAGAGTTAGAGTGGCTTTCATATAGCTCTCGGACAATAGAGCCTCGAAGGGATTACCACCTGAAGGATGTAGGTCCTTCATAGCCCGATCAGCCCGGTACATCGACGGAAAAACTAAGGCAGGATGCCGGATAAGAAATGCCAGTTGCCAGGTGGCGAGGTACGCGTCTGGGAGAACAGTTTCATTGAATGGAGGAAGTCCTTTCGACCGGCCATACTTGCTGTCAACGCGAACCCGGAAAAATGAGTGGTAATCGGGCGCCATGAAAGCAGCCGAGGAATCTCCATTAGTGGTGTCGACATCATGCAGCATCTTAGAAACGGCGGCCGGGTTCATGAGCCAAGATATGTGCTCTTTGATGAAGAAAACCTTTCCTTCATCACGGGCCAAGGCGGAGGATCCTTCCATGGCCTCCAGACACTGTTGGAAGACCCCCTGAACCTCGAGCGCTTGTTCCAGTGTCCATTGTCTGATGGACGTGCTGAAGACGTCAGCTTTGGTCAATTTAAGATATGTTGGTGTGAAATAATATCCGCCTTTATCGTTGGTGATGACATTTGGCTGATCGCTAATAGAGAGTATCTTCAATAATAAATTGGACGCGGTCCGAGGCAGGCTATCGGTATTATGCATTTTTGCCGGTAGGTCTGGAAACCGTGTAGCAAATTCAGGGAAGAAAAGAGCGATAGGTGGTAGGGTTCAAGAAAAGTGGAGGACGGAGTGGGAGCTAAAATAGAAATTCGGTTATTCTCAATGCCTATGTGGGATGATGCTATTGCTTCAGTTTCCTGTATGTCAAGGTCGAACTTCTCGAGCTCCACTGAATTGACCCATGACCTGGCTACAATGAATTCACAGCCGGCTACAGTGAGGGGGCATCCCGGCACTGTGTGAACACCCGGGACTCAGACAAGATGTAGTGTAATGATGAAGAATGTAAGGAGTTGTGAACGATGAGTTAGAGTGCGGAATCTACTGACTGGTGAATATAATGCTAAGACAATACCCCTTGGTTTACAACCCTCCCCGCGGGCTGAACTAGGATGATAGGCAGAGTGGGGCCGGTGCACATCCAGTATGTAATATTTGGTATGCATAGAATGGTTATGGAGAGACCGTAAACCGAGAGGGTATGCAAGCCACAGTAATAGTGCATATTGGGAACCAAAGAGTAATTATATGCATTCCTTTGGGAATTCCTTGACAGGGATTAACGGTGCCGCATACATTGCCTTCTCTTACAGCTGAAGTGTGGATGAATGAGATATCTATATCTATCCATATCTTTTCCTTATTCCATTGACCGTGAGAGATACTTACGAAGACCAACCCTTGCTCTCCCAATCATCAGAGCGGTTCGAGATCTGGCTCGATTGACATTAGCCCTCTGATACTGGATTTATAGAGCAATGAAAACAATGTTGAGGATTGCCTTTGGCTGGATGATCAACATAATGCTGGTGGTTATATAGAAAGGTCCGAGCTCAAGTGAAGAATTGATCTCGACGAGGCAATTAACGAAGCTGGTATGTGGATACCCCTCTAGCAGTAAATATTCAGTCATCAAGTGGGTCAAGTCAGCCGAAAATGTAGGTGTACGTAGTAGTCAATATCTCTCCAGGGATTTAACCTGTGTTGTTCAGCAGGCCTGATTCATCATGAAACCCACTCATGTAACAATGCACCAGAAGACAGCTTATTGTATTATTCCTGGTGGACCGATATGTTGAGATAGCTGCGCCAAAATGGCGGTGTGACTGCAAGAATGTGATTTCGCAGCAGCAAGGGGCTTTGCAGCTATGTCAGTATACGGTACATACTCCGCACTTAGACCAAGTTGCCCGTGAGATAATCATAGGTGCATCTGAAGATAATTTGGCTGTTCCTTATTAGTTCCTCTCAGTCATGTCCAACAACAACTGCCAGTGGACCATCCATCCGTACATGTGCCACCGATGGCAGTTTATGTACCATTCAGCATGTACCACGCCGTGGATATTGGATTCCCTGCCGGCCCGGTGGTCATTATCCTCATTCTTCTTGGGGTGGTTGTCGTAGCATCCGACGGCCTTGATGGTTGGCGGCAGCGAAGAGCCTTGAAGGGCATCCCGATCGTAGATGAGGGTAGCTACATGCGACCGCGGCTACGATGGAAACGATTCGATGCGGAGAAAGAGTATGCGAGCGCGTATCAGCAGGTGAGTGTCGTCTTATATCTCAACAGCTGAATGTTCGGCTACTCACCATCACCTATGTGAATCAGTACAGCAAAATGGGTAAACCCTATGCGACAAGGATGCAGAATGATGACTATGCCATTGTGCTTCCTTTGAACTCATCCAAAGAATGGAGGTCTCTACCACACGATAAGATGAGCTTTCTTCAGGCCTTGGCAGAGGTAACACCCATCGAATTCCTAAACGATGCACAAGTCAGCAGCTGAGTCACTGAGGACAATTAGTTTGCGGATATGAACATGTACTGCGACATCACAGACAGGACACCCATAGAGGCGGTTCATAATTGCAATAATGCGGAATCATTGAGTACGAAATCCCACCTGACAGAAATGAGGCAGAATTCTGATTGTTTGTGGTACTCGCCAGACCACTTCAATAAGCTACTAGCCCAGGAAGCAGATAAAGCCTTGCCTCTGATACTCGACCAACCAAACGGGAACAGTAAGCAGGATTAGAGCAAGACTTGGAAGGCAATGTTGCCGAGCTGACAGAACCACTAGAGTGGAAGGATTTGAACACATTTCACACTATTCTCTCCTTATGCTCCAAAATCACTATCATCTTGCTCCTTGGACCAGACATCGCCCCTGACCCGGTGCTCCTCCACCATTTGATGTCTTTCGGCGAAAGCATCATGAGTAGCTGCTATCGACGAACGGGATATCCGCGCATCTTGCGGCCATTTGTGTGGCACTTCTCACCTGTATGCCGGAATCTGAGATATCACCTGTCAATTTTAAGAGAAAAGCTTGTTCCTGTGGTCGCGCGGCAAGTCACAGCCGCCCGAGCGGCGAAAACAATCAACGACATACGCCCATATTCGTTGTTGGACGCTTTGGTTACGGCTGCCTTCGATAACGGCAGCTTGAGCCGAGATGGCGATTGCACAAATGAGGCGGCACAGCTCCAGTTGTTGGCAGATGATCTCATATTCTACCATTTCGAACTATCTAATCCAACCGCATTCAACATTATCTTCCAGCTGTATTCCATCATGAATCATCAAGAGTATATGGCTCCGCTCAGAGAGGAGGCACTTCATGCTCTGAAGCTAACTGACGGTGACTGGACCGCTGAAACTCTGAAGCACGCCCCCAAGTTAGAAAGCTTCGCAAAGGAGACCTTTCGGCTGTATGATATATCTCCATGTCAGGTCTTCTCCCTATTTGTCCAATATGAGCCGTACTGACTGAAAATAGTGGTCAGCTTCCGCCGTGTCATGAAACCTGTCACTTTAAACTCCATCGGCCTGTCTCTTCGTCCCGGCACAATCACTTTGTCTCCATGTCGGGGTGTCCATCTGGACCCTGAGATCTATGAAGATCCGACCACCTTCGATGGCTATCGCTTTTACGACTCCGGCCGCGGCGTCTGCTCTCCACGCGTGGCAACCACCTCGCTGACTTTCTTGACATTTTCTCACGGAGCGGGCTCCTGTCCTGCGCGGGTTCTCGCGACTCAAATTTGCCGGACAATCTTCATCAAATTTCTGTTGCAGTATGATGTAGAGCTTGCGCAGAAAGAGACTTTCCCATATGGATTTACGAGTGGCCCAGTCTATTTACCTAATCCATCAGTAACGATGCGGATTCGTCCGAGAAGTGACGGGAAGTAATGATTTGCCTTCCATATCCGATCAGTTCAATTGAACTTCACGATACTGACTCTCCATGCCATCGACGATAGCTGTCAATCTCTGTTAATTGTGTTCAAACCGTGTATGTTTGTTAGTCATGAGTCAAATCAACATAGGGGACTGTATCTGCGAGATAGTACTGTTCAGAAAGGACCGACGGCGGGCCTACTTTGTCCCGGTTCAACTTAAGTCATCGCCTGTCTCTTTGGTCTAATTGACTTAACTCCGTGTTTGTTCAACTCATTGTTGCTGGTTGGACTTGATCCTTATGGTCGCTATTCCTGATCCCGTACTATCTTCATTCACTGTCATTGCCAGTGGCTCGGGTAGCGCTCTGTTCCTATAGCAAGGAAGAGCGAGGGAGGGTGACAACAAACTGCAGACACCTGGAATCCGCTAGCTTTTGGAATTTCTTCGATTAAGTAGTTATTCGCTACCCCAATACTGCTATCTTTCACAGACTTTTTATTTGCATTAATGTCCCAATATAATTACTATGTATACCGTGTCATTGCCCGATACACCTAGACTCAAGGTTGCTCCCAACGTGTCACCTATGCCGCTGCCGTACGCCACCCTCATTTTCGAACGAAGAAGACGAGAGCAGATGACAACTAACGCGACATCACTGTTGAGATATCTCCTACGCCTTTCAATAAGACGCAGTGAGATACTCCTTCAGTTCTAGTATTGTGGGAGATTCCAGCAAGAAAGAACTCTGGATGTTAACTTGCAGCTCGGTCGAGAATCTTTCCACTAGGACGAGCGACAAAAGTGAATCTATGCCCAGTGCAGAAACCTCCGTTTCATCAGTCAGACTGTCCGGCTCCACTCCGGTCTCTGCGGCGAGCAGAGCTAGTGCATCACGGACGAGCTCGGTGTTGGCTTTCGTCACAGATGGAGCGATTGGTAAGTCAACTTCCGGGGTAGGCGGGCTGGTATTCGGATCCCTTGGTTCGTCACCCGGGCCCGACTCTGTCGAGGGGCTGTGTTGGTGCTGTACATCCGGCAGGTCTTGGGGCTGAAGGCGGCGAGGCAACACGCTATCACCACAGTCCGGGGGATCGAAGAAGCGAGTCATCAAGATACGAGGCAGCGGACGCAATGTCATTCCACGGATCTTTCCTATAATACGGTCCCCATGCAGAACATAGACGTCCCCGGTGGAAAAACCTGAAGCATCGCGAGCCGGGTTCATTTTGACATAGGATCGATAGAGCTCGCCTGGAACGAGGTCCTCTGCGAACCGCATTGATTTCCATCCGTCCATTACATAGATGGTATTATGATGGTCGGTGGCATGGCCGGCATTGAGCACCAGACCCCCAATATGAGCGATTGGATCAATGTGATGAGGAGGCGCCGTCCAGCGGCTGTCATTGCTAGGCGCAAGATTCACATCAGCAACAGCTTCCAGATCGTGCAGCACCGCCGACTGTATACCGCGATAGTGGTCTGCGTAGTCGACGATATTTTTGAAAAGTGTGTACACCAGATCCCGGGAAAGACGGCTCGCCTGTCCATGATCCGCCATCTGGTGTAGTGTGGCGATCCGGGTCGTCAAAAGGTGGGAGTAATCTGCCCATTCATCTAGCCAATCCTGCTTGTCACCGCATGTTACGACGCCACTGGCCAGCTCCTGTGCTGGTGAGGTCTCATCCAAGAGACTAGATATAGACAACTGCAACGTTTCACAGTGGCGATCCGCCTGCATGCGCATCCCAACCCATTGTGGTTTGGACTGATCTTTTCTTGGGAGCAGTCCTTGGAACACCCTTACTTCACCAAACTCCATGGCCGGAAGCGGTGCCTCAGGCATGAGGCGGGAGTGCATATACTTTGCCAATGTGAAAGCTACGTCGGGGTAGGAAAACTGCAGAAGGATGTTCAGTTCAGCACCGAGCTCATCAGGAGAGTCCACTCACCACTGAAACGAGCGGCCGCCCACTCATTTTGTGTCCCGACGCCACCGCAAAAAAGTCCTTGTCCATCACGTCGGATTGTACGACGAGCTCTCCGCCATTTTGCCCGAACGACTCCTCCACAATCTGATGCACCAAAGCAGTGCGGAAGGATGGCGTTGCGGCGGAGATTGACTCTGTTACAGGCCGTTTATCTTTCACCAGCAGCCAGTCTCCGTTGTACTGAATCCAGTGATTTTTCAGATCCCATTGATAGGATGGCAAGTCCAGCAGGCGGAGATGTGGCTCAAAGGGTCGATACCACTCATTCCAGTCGAGTGGGACTCCGGTCTCTTGAAGGGTGCACATGCTAACAGCCAATGTATGCCAGTTAGTCTCATCTGACCGCAAGCTTGGTACGATAGCCATGACATCCGCGAGAGTGGCACGGACGGCGCCCGAGTAGGTCGGGTGGACTCCAATTTCCACCCAAACAGTTTGTGAGTTTACGAGGCCCATATGCTGCGCCTTCGTCAGGGCTTCGGAGAAACGGGCGGGCGCCCGCGTGTTATCCCGCAGGAATTGACAGGGGGCCAAGCTACCACTTTCTACGGCCACATCGCCCAACGTGGATGAAATGAGTGGGATTTTGAGGCTCTTGAAGAAGATAGCCTTTGCGATATCTTCGTATCGATCCAGTATGGGGTCCATTTGGGAGGAGTGAAACGCAAACGGGACATTCAACTGGACACTGCGGTACCCTTTCGACACTAGACACTCTTGTATGTCTACGATTTCCGTGACCGACGCAGTGACCGTGATACTTCGGGGCCCGTTAATACAGGCGACCTCGTATGCTCGGCCTTGCAGGCAGCGACGTATATCCTCGACGGCTCCCTGTACAGCTAGCATTCCATAGCTGTTAGCCGTGCAAAGCTCCTGCATAAGCAGAGCACGTTGTCCAACCAAAAAGATAACGTCGCTGGCCGAGAGCGCTCCTGTAGCATACAGCGCCGCGTACTCCCCGAGACTGGCGCCGATAACTACGGCAGGCTTCACACCGAGTGTCCCCCAGAAACGACAAAGGGCAATTTGGACGCAGACAGTAGTAAGCTGGGTCACCAACGCGCTTAATTGAGTGACATCCGCGCTGGTATCTGTGATAGCTGGGAGTATCGAGCCAAACCCATTCTGTCTGCAGATCTCATCCAGTCGCTGGATTTGCTCCCGATACGGAGGATACTCCTTGAAGAGCTGCGAGCCCACTCCGATGTAGAAGCTTCCTTGACCCGAAAAGACGAATGCGACGGAGGGCGGTTTACTCACTAATCGTCCAATCTTCAACTCATGCACGCGTTGGTGTAACCCTTGGACGATCTCTGCTATTGACGTGCCATGCATCGCGATGCGACACTTATGGTGTATGCGTCGGGCGGTGGTAGTGTACGCGAGGCTTGCCAACTGTGCGGATGGGTTCGCTTCCAACCAGGTAATCAGGCTTTCGAGATTCCGTTGCAGAGAAGTCGTGCTCTTGCCTGAAAGGGCCACGACGAATCGTGTCTGCGGAGGTCCTAGAGGATCTGGCCGCACAGGCGGCTCTTCCAGCAACAAGCTTGTGTTACCCCCTGCCGCGCTGAAATTATTGACCATGATGTATCGTTTTCTATTTGACCTATACGGCCACGGTATGGTCTCCATAGGGATATGGATGCTTAGCCGGTCGAGATTTGGGAATTTGGAGTTCAACGCTGTTTTTATGCCCACATGCCTGGGAATCGCATTATGCTGAAAGATAAGGAGTGCCTTCATTAGTGCTGTAATTCCAGCTGCGGCCTCTCCGTGTCCCAAATTAGCCTTGACAGACGAAATATACAGGGGATGTGACCGCCGAGGTACTGAAGGACTGAAGACGCGGGTGACGGATTCAATTTCGGCCGCATCCCCAGCCTGTGTTCCTGTGCCATGCATTTCGACCAGGTCGACATCGTGTGGATGGATGCCTGCTTCGGAAAGGACAGAACGATAGAGCTGTTCCTGGGTAGGTGCATGAGGGTGCGTTATGGAAATGGCACGGGATGAGTGATTGGTAGCTGTACCGAGAATCACCCCTAAGATATTATCGTTATCTTGTTGCGCATCACATAGGCGCTTGAGGACAATAGAACCAATTCCATCGGCTCGGCAGTATCCATCAGCACCGTCATCAAACACCCTGCAGTTTCCGGTCTTGGAAAGGAAAAAGCCCCTACTGAGACCAGCAAAGCTATCAGACCCTGTTAGGATATTCAACCCCCCAGCAACAACCATGTCGGCCTCACCACGGGTTAGCGCGCTACAGCCGATCTGAACCGCAGCTAAACTGGCAGAGCACGCTGTATCACAACTGAAACTGGGGCCGGAGAATTTAAAAAAGTAACTGATTCGACCGGGAGCAAATGCCCGGTAGTTTCCTGGTATAAAATACATGTCGATATTTTGCCCGGCATTTGCTTCGCGGTAGTCATCGGAGCACTGGCCGTAGACCGTCCCTACGCGGTCTCTGGTAGTTGAACGGGTGCGGTCGGGCACATATCCGGAATGTTCTAGGGCTTCATATGCAGTAAGCAGGGCCAGGCGGTGGGTGGGATCAGTTTGTCCCGCTTCGCGGGGAGACATATCGAAGAAGCTTGCATCAAAGAGTCCAGGGCTGTCAATAAAGCATCCGAACGGGGTATGGCTAGTGTTTGGTCGTTTTCCTGTTATATCTGTGTGACTCTCAACGTCATATCTGTTGCCTGGGACCTTCTGGTGCACATCCCGTCCGTCCTCAAGGAGGTCCCAAAATCGCTGCAAGTCATCTGCACCTCCCGGCAACCGACAAGACATACCTACCACAGCGATCTTGGAGTCCATGGGGTTCGACGATTGCTCAAGGTTATTGTCGATTATCCACTGGTCAAGGTCGTCCAGGCTGACCGTGCTTTCAGGGTAACCTGACTGTATAGCAGATAACAAGCCATGCACAGCAGGCGAGGGTGACTTGAACGTCTCTACCCGCAGCTTCATATTATCTTTCCAGTGAGGAAAACCTTTGACCCCCTCAAGAACGTCACCCCAGCGAATTATGCTTGTCAGAAGCACATATGTGGCCGACTCAAAAAGTTCTCCTGCAGTCTCGCCCGCCAACGATTGCCCATTACCCATCGATAATAGAAGAGGATGTCCCGAGAGACAGCGACTCGCAATGCCAGAGTTGACTTCCCTTACTACCCACGCGGCGTGTGTTCTGTCATACAAGTGAGCTGCATGGCAGGGGCCCCCGTATACTGGCAGCGGTGCACGGGGAGCCGACTGAACCTTTCCGGGTTTATTAAAGAACTCGCGCAGTCGTGACGGCGGACCGCTAACGAATACACTGCCGTCGGGTTCTACGACGCTGATGTACACTTTGGCTGACTGGGGGATATTCTGTGTGCGATTCACATTAGATACCTGTCCCTGCAATGGCAGCTCATATCGGTTAGCCTACCATTGACCTATTAAACATCTCCAGCTCTTCTTGCACCGTCTTCTCGTCCAAACCCCTCACAACCGTGGTCCAACTCTCCCGGGAACTGTCCAGTGGCAGTTGTTCCAAGTCCTGGGACTTTTGGTACAGCAAGATACCGGATCTCATGGCTATCCGGATAACCTCCGCTGCCGTGGTGGGCACGTCCAGCAGTGACCTGGACGCAACGACCGCGGTGGCAGCCAAAGATCCTAGCCCCAGCCCAGTGAAAAGAGCTCCCTGCGCGTCGAAAATGAATTCATGAGGCCGGCTCTCGTAACTCCTATCTCATGTCAGTCAATGCATTCGCCATTTCCCAGTTGGATGTTGCGGGATCTCACCCAATGAAGAGACCTAGGTGGACTAGACACAAGAAGATGCATTCGAAAGCACCACACAAAGGTCCTTTGTGCCAATTATAATTCTCAGCCAGGTCGAGTATAGACTGGAAGGGCGGAATCAGACTTCTCAGTTCCGGGGGAAGACGGTGGATTTCCTCTCTAACGACTTGTGTTGTCTCCTTGAAGAATTGTCGCAAGATGACATGCCCCGGTAACTCAGAATGCATCCGCAGGTTCCGAAACACATCTGGTAAGTTATCAGTGGGAAATCTGTTACTAAAAAAGAAGAGCCTCATTGCGGTTGTTACGGCCATGATGACGAATCTTTCATTATAGAGGGATGTTGGTCGATATATTTCGAGCACGATCAACGTTTATAGTGAGTTCATACTCAGTCTGAGTCCGCAATCTCTGAACCCAGACAAGTTACTGCCTCGACATCACGCCTGACCTCAACCGAAACATTCTCATGCTAGGAGTGTCTCAGATTGACCTCCTGATGGGAAGCATCTGAACAGCCGGCCACAGTGACCTGGTTACCTGCTTATGTTGCAGCCTTGTGGACAACCTACACACGGAGGTTGTATTTTGAAGTGCCCTATTCCACTATCGAATACTTCTGGCATAATGCGCACTTTGAAGCTTTTCCAAGGACTGATTGGGCAAAACTGTCAAGAATGTTCTCCTTGAATGATACTAAAGGCTTCACAACAGGAGCGGTAAGCGCCTTGGCACTGTGGGTGCAGGTAACTACAAACGATCTTTTCGCAAAGTGCCAGAGTAGTTTGGCTGGACGTCAAGATCTTCAACTATAATACAGGCTACACTCCGTTGTGGCTCATCCCGCGGCAATATTTGGTAAACCGCTCTGTTCGCTAACTAATCAGGAAATGTATGATGTTGGAAGCTCTACTCGTAGGAAGCAATGAAAGGGCAGAGAGTTGTATTGTGTTGTGTTTCTATCTAGGGGTGGCGCAGCGAGGCGCGTAGAAGTAGGGGTTGGTTGGTATGTAGGAGTCACGTGACCGAGGCTACTAGTATTACTGCTTCAACATATGACAAATAAAAGCTGCGAGGGGCATTGTGAGCCAGCCGCGACACCGCAAGTTGCATATCCACAGTTCTCTCTAGTGCACTATCAAACCAACTATCCTAGGTATATTTTACTAGACCCCTCTCTGGCTGTATTGTGCATTATGGCAGATTCTGTACGGAGTACGATTTAAGTAGAGTTTTCGGTACGGGCCTATCCAAACATGCATATGCAATGCCAACAATGTCTGAAAGATATCTGTATTGAACTATCCCTTGCGTCAACGGCGCGTACTCCATCAGCCCTACAGAACCATGCAAATATAACTTCCAATATCACTGCCATTATAGATATATGCATCGTGCTATCCCTGGAGGTATCGGTGAGCGTATCTCCCCACACACCTGCAAGGGGGGTCTAGTGACGCCAGAAATCGCGCATTCCCTATGTTGTCGTCGGGGATTACCCAGTGTTACCCTATCATACTCATGTAGGAACGTCAATGGTATGGAATGTTGAAGCAGTAATACTAGTAGCCTCGGTCACGTGACTCCTACATACCAAACAACCCCTACTTCTACGCGCCTCGCGCAACCCCTAGATAGGAACACAGATACAACTCTCTGCCCTTTCTTTGCTTCCTACGAGTAGAGCTTCCAACATGAAATGGAATGCATATACACCAGGATAAAAATATTCTAGGAAAAGACGTCCCTGAAAGATAGGTCATTCATACATAACGAGCTCGATCCTGTCCCAGGATCAAGGTAGTTTTGCAAACACGCAATATTCTCTAGGGGAACTCCGCCACACCATGACCTTCCCAGAAGAAGTCGATGAATACTCCTCAATCCAGAGAGGGTTGGAAGCACTCAACGAAGCTGCGCAACGATGGCAGCAGACTATGCACAGTAACCAGGGCGACACGCTAAAAGGCAGCTGTGCCAGACAAAGTGTGCGCGATGAGCTGGTTCTGGAGGCGCTCAAGTTTCTCCAGATCGCACAAGGCCCCATCGATGCAGCGGCTACTTGTTACGAAAGGGTTCGATATAGCCATGCCATGAAAGGTCCAGGTTCAAGGGGTATCGGCTAATTAGTATCATAGACGGCTCATCTTGCCAGTGTCCGCGCTCTGCTGGAGATGGGGGTCTTCGAAGCGCTTCCGGCGGGGCGAGAATCTCGCAGCACGGAACAGTTGGCGCGGGAACTCAATGTTGACGAATCTCTTCTTGGTCAGTGTGCTTATGGCAATATGACTTATGTTATACCCCAGCTGACAGGATCACAGCTCGTCTACTGAGAAATTCTTCGCTGTACGGACCATTTGAAGAGACTGGGCCGGGCCAATACCGCCACACTCCATTTTCCGTGGCGTATCTGCGCCCTGAGATCCGCGGCATGTTTCGATTTGCGTGAGAGCTTCCCCTGTTACCTTCTGGAATTACAAATAACAGAGAATTCGATAGGATGGACGATCATATGCCCGCGCACCTTAAGCTGCATGAATTCCTCCAACGCAATGGCTGGCAGGAGCCCTCGTCCACAACAGACAACCCTTACACGTATGCCCACAAGACGAATGGAAAGAGCATGTTCGACAACCTCTCGGAGAAGCCGGAGCGGATGAAGGCATTCAATAACGGGATGACGCTGCAGGCGATAACGCCGCTATGGATGATAGATCTATTCCCCTGGAAAGGTTTGACCCAGTCAAAACCCAGCGCAAGCCAGGTTGTTGCCGTCGATATAGGTGGTGGTAAGGGTACGGGAATCAGCCGGATCAGAACTTTGTGTGATGATTTGCCCGGTCGCTATATCCTGCAGGATCAGGCACACGTTGTCAAGAGTGTAGAGGGGTCGCTGGATCCTATGATCGAGAGGATGAGCTATGATTTCTTTACTGAGCAACCTATTCGAGGTAAGACAGCTGGATATGACTGAATGTTTTGACTTAGCTTATGACATCCTTGCCAGGAGCTTTAACCTATCTGATCCGCCGTTGTCTCCACAACTGGCCGCAGGACAAAGTGGTTTGTATCTTGAAGAACATCGCCGCAGCCATGGAGCCTGAGAAGTCACGGTTATTAATTGAGGAGATAGTCGTACCGGCGGAGAAATCCGGTGTCGAGGAAGGGTGGATGGATATGATCATGATGTCTCTGGGTGCCAAACAAAGGACATTGAAAGAATGGGGGATGGTGCTGGGCCTGGCCGGGCTAGAAGTCAAGAATGTGTATCAGGTTCCGGGGAATTGCCATGGACTCATTGAGGCCTGGCTGAAGTGATTTCATCATTCTTTTGCTTCTTGTGTCTTCCAAGGTCTCATTTTGAACTCCCGAGAGTGATACCCGGGAAGGCCTGAAGAAGCCAAATTACATACTGGATAATATCACGTGTCTACTTGCTGCGAGAAAAATCATCGGCTTTACATCGTGGCGACAACGTAGACCTTTTCGATGTAAGGTCTAGCGAGAGCACCTCTGTGCCTTACCAGTATAATAATATACTGCATCAGAGTCCTCAACAACGTAATTGACATTCAGCTCTATAACTTTGTGGTTCGTATCAATTGGCCTACCGATATCTGGTGCAAAACCACAATCACAAATACCCAAAATCATGGCTTCCGAGCCGTTGCAATAATCGCCTCGGCCTTCATGGCGCCAACTCCGTCCTTCCCCATGTTCTCTTCCAGAATGCGCAGGGCCGCCTTTGGCACCTCTGCTTCGTACCTGTCCCGCTGCTCCTGCGTCCAGAACTTTCTGGTTATATGAGGGAGACTGATCTTGCAGGCCTCGGCAAGCTCCTGTACTGGCACTGAGTATTGCTTTGCCACGGTGGTAACATTGATATCTGTGAATCCTGCTTGCTCAAACAGAGCCCGCACCCGGGTCTCGTCGGTCCAATTCTCGTTGTACAAACCAAAAATGTCGTCAGTGGTTGGCGTAGGAAGATCGCTGGGTAGACTTGCGATGGCGGCCTGAATCAGAGTCATCCATACGGCTGGCAGATGGTGAGTTAGATATGTCAGGTATACTTGCTAGAGTCAACATACTTGTGGACCATGTAGAAACGGCCAATATGCCTCCTCGTTGGAGTATCCTGAAGCACTCTAGCGTAGCGAAGGTTAAATTGCTTCTTTAGCTTGATATCACCATACCGGGAGCAACCAACCTTCCATTGCAGCTTGATCATTTGGGAAGAGGTTAAAAGCTAAGACAAAATTAGCATTGACCACTCTGCTTAGTAGTATTTGTCCCCCTACCAAAACCCGAGAGGACATGGGTATAGTGTTCACTCGGAAGCTCGGTTTTATGCGCATCAACAACCCTGACTTCCGCATTGCGCCACCCTTCTTCGACCATCTTCTGCTTAGACACCTCGACCATAGCCTCAGATATATCGCCACAGGTCAACTGCCAATTGCAGGTAATTTCATCGCTAAGGCGACGATGAAGAGCACTAGAAACTGCCCCTGTCCCGCAGGCATCGTCGAAGACAGCCAGAGGCTTCCCCCCGAACCAGGCTATACCAGACTTCTCCACTAATTCCTCAGCAAACAGGTTACTAATTCTACTCCCACTCATGTATCTGCTAGCAGAGGCATGATTGTGCTTTTCTGGTGCAGTTGGGGTACGAGTCATGTTTGGTAGATTTCAATCAGGGCGTGAGTGTCATACTCGGCGTGCGAGGTACAGAATTCGGGAGGACTCTCGACTTTTCTTAGTGATGCTGCGAATATTTGTCTAGAATGTGATAATAATACCGAAAGATCACCGTACAGCAGTATAGCGGTAAGACGATGATATCCTAGAAGTTAGAGGCACCTATGGCGGAGCAACATACATGCCTTACAGGCCGTTAATCCTAAAAGATGTCTAATGTTGTAGATAAATCTGAGACCTTGCAGAAGGGTTGGGTGACATTAGCTGCTATCTCATGCACTGTCATAGCAGTTGCAGGCCGGAGAATGCTGCTAAACGAACAGAAAGAGGGTTTCCAATGTCTCCTGGCGAACCTCAGCTCATGGCGTCTAACATTCACTCATCATGCACCATAGCAGTTCCCTTACCTCATATGAAGCGCCGGACGATCGATCAGCAGTGAGGGCGCATACAGGCTACATCTTGGACTAGTCACTTACGCAACATATTTACACTGAAGGTCTTGAATTCGATGGTTCCTTGCGTTCCCCCTTCAAGGGGTAGAAAGTAACAAGATATGGGGTCCATGAGTGAATAAGTCAAGGGTCTGTTGCCATTAAATGAAATCCTTTCAAGTCTAATCTGTCAACTGACTATGTATCCTAAGCGTATACTTTGTGTAACTGTCAGTACAGTTGAACTAATTTCTACTGCTCATGTACAAATACAATCACTTTAAACCAGTTATTCATTATTGGCGGTGTGAGAGTGCTAGATCTAAAGATAACTCCGTGAAAGGATATACTGCTCGGGAAGGATAACTTGTTAAATAGGCGAGTTTCTACGAAACACTATGGATATAGTTAGAAGTGGCAGAAGTACTCCGGATGTATATAATAATAAAAGCCCGTCCTTGTGATAGGTAGAAAATGACACGGATGCCCCATATTACATACATTACAGCCATAAGGAGATTGCTGGTAATGATTTTACACTAGTTCTTCAAACAACACTTTATGCAGATTTGACCTAATGAGGGCGTACGTAATCCTCTGATACTAGTCTTACTACTACTGCGATTATCTAACAGAGCCGCACGTCAATACTTGAAGCTTTATCATGGGGTGTTTTCTCATATCATAAAATATGACTATCTTGTGATAGAACAAACAAATTTTAGATATGGTTGATTGACATCGTAAGTTTATCCCTTCCTCTGCCATTCTATGTAAGTCCCCAGTCTTTCGGGGAACGCAAAGTGACAAAACCCCATGAAATCTGCCAATTTATGTTACTTCAGGCTCGCTATGCAACAAATTCGCTGTAGTTATTCCCATGCTTGCCATGGCATTCTCTTCCCATCAGAATCAAAGCTTCGGGGATATCACAGGTGGCTCTTAGGCTGGGAGCAGCACCCGGAAGAATTTAGGCTGGCGGGCTTCTCCGTAAGCTCTACGCTCTTGTTGAATGCCTGTGTGGACGGAGGGACATCGTTCGCGGGGTTGAAAAGGCAGAAATTATAAGGACTCAGCTGAACCTGTGCCATTTCAGCCGGCATAACGGGAAAGTCCTCAACACGTGGGTTGTGAGTGAAGCCGTAGGTATGCCAAATGACAATATCATCGTCCCGGACCAAGTCTCGAGCTTCGCCAATCCATGATTTGATACCAGTACCGCCAAGGGATTGGTTCGTGTAGTCACCCGCTGGGAACAGCTGACGGTCCTTGTACTTCGTGACCCAGATTGGGCTCTCACAGAATTCCGACCGGCGCGAATGCCAGGACCCAGGGCGAGCGAGCAGCATCTATAGTCGTCAGTGTGGCCCAAAATTGAAAAGTCTGATCGACTTACCTGAGAGCGATGAGGCACCAGTTTGTACCCAATTGGAGTCAATGACACGGGGTTTTCGACATTCTCGTTCAAAATCTTGAAAACTCTTCCCTTCGAGATGTCGTCCTCCACAGTTCCTGCCCGATCAAGGATCTGCTGTTGGGTTATAAATCCGGTACCAAGGGGGTTCAGATCCTCATCCCACGGAAGGGGAACAGTATCGGTAGACGCAAAACTGTTCTTGTGACCGCCCATGGCTGGGTCGATACGCAGATTGAAGAGATGCTGATGATACGGGGCCATCACTCCATCCGCAACGCGTGTGCCCCAGGCCACCTTGGCATCTTTGTCGATTGGCTGGGTAGAGAGAATGCCTGTAGCACGGGTTTCGAAGGTGAGTTCTCCCGACTGATCGAAGTACCACATGAAAATATACTCGTAGTTCGCCACAGTGATGATCGTTTGCAACACAAGCTGGCGCTTTCTCACTACTGTTGCCTTTCCAGTCCGGTGGTTTGTATGCTTCCACTGGATTCCATTATCTATTTCATGGATGCAAATGGCATTCGGCCTAGGCGCAGGGCTTCCATCTTTGGCGACAACACATCCGTCAAGGTATTTGATGAGACCGAGACAATCACAGCCCACTATTATGAGTAATATGGTCAGACATATGTCGCAAGCCTAGACGAAAGGTAAAGAACGTACATTGAAGGTTGTTTGCAGTCACACCCGCACCGACGTTTCCCAGGTCAAATGCTCCCTTTCGATAAATTGGGTTACGGGGATCGCCGTATGGCACAAATATTTCCGAAAGAGAGAGACGATAGAAAGCACTCTTTCCATCAAAAGACACATCATGAAGGGTCATTCCTGACCAGAATTAGTACCTTAGCTATTCCTGCAAAGTTTGAAGTACAGCTCACCTTCACGCCAATTGAACCCAACACGAAAGCGCCATTTCTCCCATTCGATCAAATATCCATTGACGGTAAAGGACGCCCCCTCTGGCTGAACTACTTGGTAGGGCTTCAGGGTAGTCCGAGGAGGGTTCTTCTGCAAGCGATGATCATATTCTGGTTCGACGGGGTTGGTCCGACGATGAGGCACAGCCGAACCAACAGCAGTGGCGGTTTGGTCCGATCCCAAGGGCAGACGAATGATTTTTATCACCTCCATCTTGCAGAGATCTACAATGACCATGAAGTCCAAAGGGAAGCTATAATGACTGGAGTCGGGGTCGTTATTCTCGGGATTGCGCATGTACATGAAGACCTAGGAATGAACCTGTCAGCTGATTGTGCGCGAGTCGGCAGTCCAGCAACGCAGTACCTGGGTGCGACGAGTCTGTGTGTCTTCGCCATCTACGCCGTAATCCCAAGGATCGAGGACGACGGTGGTCTCATCAATTTGGAGTCTTTTGATCTCTGCCTGAACACGAAGGTCCTTCATGACAACCTGCGCCGCTTCGTTCATCTCCGCCCGGTCGACCGGTCCGTGAAAGTCGCGTGGAAGTTCTCTGTGATGGACAAGTGTCTGTCTGGAGAGGTCCACGATGCCTTCAAACAGACGAGGGGTGTACTCAATGTACCAAATGAGGAAGATCTGACGGGGGATGAAGGGAAGGGGCCGACCATGGTGCTCTGCGTCCAGGAAGTCAACAAGAGCAGCTTTGGCTGGTTCTTCCAGTCCAGCTGCTTTGAAGTGAAGTGAGATTCCATTGTATTTGGCCTTGACCAAATCAGTCGCCTGCCGGATTTCGTCCGGGCTGGCTGGATCCAAAGGGTGGCACGACATCGTGGAGAGAGGTGATTATATGAAAGCTTGATAGATGAGAAGGTGCAAATATGAAGGTAATAGGTGTTAATGTTATCAGCAAAGAATAAATATCACATCGTGGGGCCGAGTCAGCAAGCAGGACAGAGTCACTGAACACCAGGTGATTTGAACGCTGAGCATGCATCTCCACACAGTGGGCTGAGCCGAGTGCAGCGGTCCGGTCCTTATACCCAGTGACAGACTGTCATCAACTCTCCCACGTCCTTATGCTTGCACGGAGATTCTACCTGTACTCACTGCACTAGTATCATGGTAGAGTGTGATGTGCAGTGTGTTCTACAATAACTCGCGACAAGGCGGAGTCAGAATGGCCGATTCCGAGCATGTTCGCCAGCTGCTGCCAGCATGCGCATCCGCGGGAACTCCTTCTCTTCTTGGGTACCAATCCAATGGAAATGTTTGCTATCTGGAATTTTCTCGGCGTATCAAACAGTCTCCATCCAATGATTCACGCTATGCGACGAGAGAGGCAAGATAGTGGCCACATCAGATAAGAACATTGGCAACATCGGAAAGAGGATGATGCGGGGAAAGGGTTGGGGCCGAGTCAACACTTATCCGCATCTTCATCCTGTTTCCCAGAGTTCCTGGACGCCGTTCTTACCATCGCCATGCCACGTCGCGTATGGTCAACCGAAGAAGACGAAAAGCCCATTGCCCTTGTTGAGCAGTTGGGAGATAAGCGTGGCAGAGACAGTAAATGGACTGAGATATCCAAGAACCTACCAGGGCGGACAAACAAGGTCCGTCCTTCCGGAGACAGTTTGCGGGTTGAATACTGACAACAACACCAGGATTGTCGAAAGCGTTGGTTCCATTCCCTAGACCCAAAACTGCGCAAAGGTCGCTGGACCAAAGAGGAAGACGAGATTCTCCTCGCCGCTCATCGGCGACTAGGACCTGCTTGGAAGGAAATTGGTACGCTGTCGCATTGATTCGTCTTCTTTTGAATGCAATTTGCTGAGTAATAGCTGAGCAGCACTTCTCATCAAGGGCCGAAAGGATGATCAATGTGCGAAGCGATATACCGATATTCTAGACCCCTCTGTGAAAAACCGCCTCAGAAGTTGGTCGCAAGAGGAGGACCTTTATCTGACGACAAAGGTAAAGGAACTGGGGCATAGATGGGCTACAATATCATCGGGACTACAGGGTCGTCCTCCTTTGACTTGCCGAAATCGATGGAGAAGGCTATGCAAAGAAATCACAACCATGCCAAATCAACCCAGCCAAGGCTAGGACGATTCCACGGAATTATCACCATCCTCCGGCTCTGGCTCAATTTATCCAGGCTCTAGCAGCGGAAACGCCACTTCCATGGACAACGGCTCGCAGGAAGATGGTGAAAGCCCCGATGTTCATCTGGATGCGATGGATATGGCCACCGGATTGTCGGAAAACATATTATTATCCTCACCATTCGACCTGAACGATGCAGCTATTCTGTCCATGCGCTACCCAGATGAAGGCTATATGTCACTTCAGCATGACTCAGACATATTCTCGCACCCTCTCATGCAGAACCAAGCCCCTGAGAGCAACCAGGCGAGAACACACACCGGACATCTATCATCGAATGAGAACGTCGAGAGGAATACAATATCAGGGGATTTCCCCTCGATCTCAAGCCCCGAGAGTCGGGCTGCAGACCGCGACCGGCTTGTGTCAAATACCACCAATATCAGTGGTCAAGAAACATCGCCTACCAATGACCTTCACACCTTCAGTGCGGACAACATTCGGCTCGCCTTAGACTCATTTTCACATAGTAAAGAGCCCGATCAGATTGCCATGGAGGAAGCAGCCGTTCGACAAGTGCTCATGGCTGCTCAGTGGACCTCTTCAAGTTCAAGGGATACCTTGTCACGGTCATATCCTACCCAGGCGCAAGAGGTTCATCACCACCATCACTTCCACCATCATTTCCATCATCACCATTACCACCATCGATCTCATGGAACATAGTAGCTGCCGTAACATATAGTGAATAAACATATATACTACATCCATTTGGCTACGCAACATCTGACTTGTGTGCACCTGCCAAGACGAAAATTAAAGGATAGTTAAGGATATCATGTTGCCATACCATTTCAAATAGTCACTTCTATGCCCTACGACGTTTCGGTAATTCTGCGAGCTCTCTGAAACATGATTAGCTGTGAATGTGCGACCGGTCTCTTTAGTTGCATTCCTGCTCGGAACTGTGATAAGCGGAATTTCTTGGCCGACTGGGCCGAGTCAACAGCATCCCACTTCAAACTGATATGACTCGGCCCAGTCCTGATTGGCCACACCCCTCTTTTCCATCTGTCTGTGCATTTGTGCATACGGAACTTAGCACTATACTTGGACCTTGAAGGTGGGTAAAACATTTTTGCTCGCATTCAAGATATCCCCCCCCAAGTGGACTTACCAAAACTGCATCCCATCCAATCTACTCTGACATTGTATCTCTTGCCATCTCTTATCATAGCAAAGCTACGCGGACTTGCTCCAGAGGACCCAAAGAACTAGCGATGGAGAGATAGAAAGAAAAAAAAGTGAAAAAAATAAAATAAAATAAAAAAATAAATAAAAAGGTTTAATCATGAACACGTATCATTGCTCATATCTGCATAGCGCTTATTACGCTCTAATAACCCAAAGCCCTGTTGACATGATTGACTAGCGGCTTGCCCTGTGCCCGTCTCTCCAAATTATACGCGAAGATCTTCAACACGCGCTCATAGTAATGATTCGAGTTCCCACTACAATGAGGCGTGATAATGACGTTCTTATAACCCCAGAGCTTATGATCAGCAGGCAACGGCTCTGGATCCGTCACATCCAAAGCAGCACCCCTGATTTTGCCTTCATCCAGTGCAACCATCAAGTCCTCCGTATTGATACAGGGTCCCCTTCCAACATTACTAACATAGGCCTTCTTCTTGCTAAGGATGTCAAACTGCTCACGCGAAATCATTCCCCGGGTTTGATTTGTGAGCGGCAGTGTGATGACCAGTAGATCGAGATTCGATGCAAGGAATTCATTCAGTTGCTCTTTCCCTGCAAACCATGCTGATGGGAATTCGCCTTCGGGGTCGCCCAGTCCTGGTTCAGTATAGTCTTCGGATCTGCGAGACTCTGGGGTATCCCGGCTGTGCAATGTATACGCGTAGACATCCATGCCGAAGGCTTTGGCGACTCGGGCACATTGTCGGCCAATGCAGCCGTATCCTAGAATTCCACTTCAAGGTTGTGTCAGCACTGTTATGAAACAGAAAGGCGAAGGAGAGCGCTAAACTCACATCCTGAGGCCGACCGCATCTTCTGTATCCTCATCGGTAGGTGGATCTACCCACTTGCAGGCCCTTTGGTTCTCGAGATATTCCGGAACTTCCAATAATTAGTGCCTACAATGATTGTGAAGAAGTTGTCTTTCGGCCTTACTATGATGCTGAAACGCCAGGAACGTTGAGAAAACCCACTCCGCGATTTGGGGCCTTGGATAAGAATTAGTTGGCGAAGCTCACTGAAGCAAGTAGGTATTTTACTCACGGATGATTGCCATTGGATGTGCAAAATGCAATATCTGTGTCTTCAAAAAGCGGCATGCCCAGTAACTGATTGCATCCGGCACTTAACAGCTGAATATACTGCAGCTTTGGCACCCATTCCTTGGGAGGAAATAGTTGCCAGGTGAAGAGTATTGTAGCCTCTGCCCATGTTTCCTTGGAGATGGGTGGTATTCTTCTTTCGCGTACATCTCAACATAATGATACTCCACCCGAATTCCCGGGTTAGCCTGCCGCACTCTCTGGAGCCATTGGTCCGGAGGCGCAAAGGGCTGGATGAAGAGTAGAAGGTCTGGATATGTCATTTCCTTAAGGGGCCTGATGTTGATACCACGTTCTATGAGTGCAGGTCAACATCTACTTAAGATTCCGCTAATGACTCGGCTCTGTAGAGACCGAGTCAAGGGCCCGAAGCCGTGTCACGATGCCATCAGGACCGAGTCAAGAGATCCTATCAGTTGCGATGCCGAACCACTATCAATTGGAGAACTAGGTGCATATAAACACGGGGTGATGGACCATTCTAACTGTTCAACGATCATATCATCAAATTACGCGCACGAAAATATGGCAAATCGAGGGAAAAGCCTAGACTCGGAGATCTTCTCCATTGCCGACTTGCAGGCCAAGGCATCGGAGAAACTTCCAAGAGAATTCAAGGGTAGCTATCCCTACTAGATCTGTGTATTGCGGCATCCGCTGACCACAACAGAATTCTTCAATGAAGGCGCAATGGATCTCATCACGTACGTGGGATAGATTCCATATCGTATCATATCTTCATAACACAAGCCTAGGGTGAAAGACAACGAAGATGCCTTTAATCGTTATAAAATACGCCCACGCGTTCTTCGCGATGTCTCTAACCTGGACACCTCCACAACGATCTGCAATACCAAAGTTTCTTTCCCGTTTGGATTTTCGCCCGCGGCCTCCCACAAGATCGCCCACTCAGACGGCGAGGTCGGAACTTCCAAGGTTGCTGCTGAGGCGAATATCTGCATGGCGTTGTCTTCACATGCAACCTGCTCATTAGAGGACGTCATAGCAGAGGGGTCGGGAAATCCATACATGATACAATTCATCATATTGAAGGATCGGGATATCACGAGGCAACTACTTGAGCGCGCAGAGAGTGAGACCAATGCTTTCTCTTTTTCATCATTGCTGGTGCTAATTCTTCTTACATCTTCAGAATCTGGGTACAAGGCAGTCATGTTAACAGTGGATGCGCCAATGCTCGGACGGCGTCTGAACGAGTACAGAAACTCTTTCGGAATCCCAAAAGGCATGGGATATCCCAATCTTGCGCCTGGCCTGGATATGAGTAACTTGACCGAGCCGGGCGAGGGGCTAGCATATGATGAGTTACGGATGTTCTAAATTTTCCATCAAACCATTAATGATGTATTCTTAGAGGATGGCATTGAGTGGGCCGAGGCCATCGCATGGATAAGAAGTGTAACTAAACTCGACATTTGGGTAAAAGGAAGTAAGTTCCCGAATTGCCTCGTATTCTGTGGAGAGCTTACATTATCTATTAGTCTATACTGCTGAAGACGTCGCACTGGCCATACAGCATGGAGTCAACGGTGTTTTGATTTCCAACCACGGCGGTAGACAACTGGACGGCGTACCAGCCACTCTTGATGCACTACGCGAATGTGCGCCTGTCGCAAAGGGCAAAATAGCTATCGCCATTGATGGCGGTATTCGCCGAGGAACGGATATTTTCAAAGCTTTGGCCCTGGGAGCGGACTATTGCTTTGCAGGGAGGATACCAATCTGGGGATTAGCGGTCAGTTTATTATTGTCCTTCCATGGACCTTTTCTGACTTCGAACATTTAGTACAATGGAACGAAGGGCGTGGAGCTTGCTGTCAAGCTATTGCAAGAAGAATTCAAATTGGCCATGTGCCTTGCTGGGTAAGAGACTTGGCTGATTTCTTCGGTGGCTGTTGGACATCCACAATTTATAGAATACTGACTAGAACTCAGATGCAAAACTGTCAAAGATATCAACAAGAGTCACCTGTCTGTTCTTGAGACGAACGGTGTACTTTCGAAGCTCTAGGATTCATGGCACGCTATTCTGACACCCACATCAGTATTCAATCCAGAACTTCGTTTGACCATGGAACATATAGATTTGCGGGGCTATACACATGGGATCAGAGACTACTGGGATCAGAAGGGTGTGGACACATGTGTAGTTGCAGCTGAACGTAGAATAGCATGCAATCTCAGTACCGTATAACTCTAGAGTAAAAGTTGCTTCCAGCAAGGATGGCGGAGAACAAGAGGTAAATGGGCCCTTTGTATGCCCATTCAAGTTAATCATAGACTATCTCAAATCATATGTAGATATCACACCTGGGTTTATTTGAATGCTCTAATTATTAGGGAATGCTTTCTGCGAGTCACAGTGGAATTTAGTTCTCTCCCTGCAGCTAGTGAGATTTTGGGGCCTCAGATAGCTACATTGGTTTCACTGATTGTCAGCATGTGAGATTCATAATCTGACATGATATGATGGAGAGAGTGATGTCATGATCGACGAGGTTTCGAAGGTCTCCCCGCGATGATTGAGTTGACAAATCCCTCGGGGCGCAGGGATCGTCGCTGGGCTGAACTGTGATGCCCGGCTGATAGAGATCATACTACTAAGGGTGGGTGGGTTTCGATTTCAATTGTACTTTGGATGAAATGATCTTTACCAGTATACGACCAAAGAGACTACTGCTTGCTTACTAGTAGTAGTTTGATTGGATTTACGAGTGTTTGTCATGTGCCGAACGGATGGAGTGGTGGGATAGTGGCTGGGATATATATTTGGATGACTGATGGCATCACTGCCACATCCTTTCAGTCATCCCAACTCGTAACACATCCTTCTTGATCAAACCCGAGGTAATAGGTCAATAATAAGGAAAGAAGCACGATGGAGGATTCGAATGAGCTCGCAGCGCCTGATAGGTACAACAATTTGCTCACTACTCTTGGCAATGCAGGGTCTACAAGGCAAGGCTGAGTACCGCGGGGAACGAGGTCAGACGTGAAAGGTCCCTGGAAGTACCTCTGCGACATATTTTAGCAGTGTAACATGTCATATAATAAAGTTGAATCTTTGAAAGAGCATTAGGTAACACCCAGGCAATGAGAAATGTCAACAAAAGCGTTAGGCAACACAAACGGTGACACGTTTTCTGCCTGCGATACAGGATGAAACCAACATGACTAATTCTGTCAACGGCGCTTTGACACCTCTTCCAAGCCAAGACCATGCAGGGCTTTGAGGGGTCAATGATCATCTTACTCAGGGTGTTTGTTGGTAGTGAGCTGCACACTCATTTTCGGGCTTTAAGAGTCGATGGCGGTGATGTCCGGATCCATGCCATGTATCCGCCGTGATCCACCATGTCTATTAATAATGACAGAGAGAGACAACAAGAGAGACAAAAAGTCGGGAATAAGAGAGAAAATCCGGTGGGACTGCCGTGTGCCAAGGACATTGTTCCTCTTTTTTCCTCCCCAATAGGTTTGACAACCCGGAGGTGCTTCCCACATCAGCATGAGATCTCGTGCAGGTGAGTTGGGTGAGGAGAATAATCCCGATGGACAAGCGGGGAAGCGAGACTGCAGCTGGTCCCATGTATCCATGCAAATGAGCGGATTCAACATCATATGAAGGAATCCACACGTGCTACATGCTGCTTGCTGCTTGCTGCAGTTTAGAATTGAACCTACAGTTGCACACAAACCATAACGGCACGTCAATGCATGATGTAACGTGGGAGACTGTTATTCAATGGCCAAGAGAACAGGGAGGCAATGGCAATTGGGCAGAAGGGGGCTATGTAAGACAGGTTGAAGTGAGACAACGGGAAGAGGCAGAGGGAAAATTGTGAATAACAACAATCAAAAGGGAATAAATGAACGGACAAGAGATTTCTCTAGAAGACTTGGCAGTGGAGCATTCACGGGCGGTCTGTTTACTGATTGGCGAGAGCGGATGTAACCCCCCGCTCGGGGGCCCCAAAAAGGAATGTGGTCACGCTCGGAGGGACCAAACTAAACTCCTCTGGGGCATCAGGCCTCCTGTTTGGGATGAAAATAAAAGATGCATCTTTTGATCCCAACTGAAAGGGAAGGTCCTCACCACGTGTTCTTGGGGGCGGACGACAAGCCTGCGGATCGTTGGTGATAGTGGCAACTAGACCGAGAGAGCTGTTTGCTTGTATCTATCGATCGGTGGGGGACAAAAATTATTCTCAAACATGAAATCAATCTAGTGGTACCCCTATTGCAATTAATGGAACACGATGTTTGGGATGGATGGATTTTGCCCCGGAACACACGACCGATGATAATTGCAGTTAAGATTTCCCCTGTCTCAGACTGACTTCCCAGGGTCTGCGGGTCTTGGCCCCGAGGCTGATTGGTTTTCGGGGCACGTCTGGCAACGCCGCTGCTTCTAAATTTACCGGCTCTCGCCTGCACAGCCAATGGCTTCCAATCTTACTGGTGGACCATCAGGGTCCAGGGCCCTCAGGGTCCAACTTTCTCTCCGCCAGGCATCCATCTCTTTTCTCCCTCGGTCATTAGTCCTGTGTAGTGCTGGGTAGTACTGTGTAGTAGAGACCACTAGTCTCGGAGCACTACTGGTAGTCCACAAGTCACTAGACTGCTTGGAGGTTGGCACACTGTGAACCACCCAGCTTTAGAGTTCGCAGGTTCGTTGGACTGGCCAGCGTGCTATATTGCCCGTTTGGATGCAGGGCTGTGAATTGAAACTGCGGCTCTATCCGTGATTGCTGGCTGTGAGAAAGACTCCACCTCCTCAGGCCTCCATCATCATGGCGTCCTGCTCTTCTTTCCCCATCTCTCTCCTCTTTTTCTTTCTCCTCCTCCTCCTCTTCTTCCTCCTCTCTTCTTGAAGAACCCCTCATTCCCTTCTTTCGCCTTTGACACCTTTTTCCATCATTCCGGGCTCCCATCCCGGTCACGCCATCTCCGTCCCTCCACCCTTCAATGGGTGTGCTCTTAGTCCGTGGTGCCATGCGGTCCGTCTGCTGAGATACTGTGACTTTCCTGCTGCACCATGAAGCTCTTCAATCCTCTCCGTCGCTGTGGCCCTGCCATGCAGCGTCTGCGTACATCTCCTGGCGAGTTCTTCGACTACACATGGGAGTTCACACGCCGATATTTCTTCACTGTCTCCTTCATCGCACTTTTTGGCGCCAAATTGCTGCATCTTTACGCTCACATCCATTCTCTCCCTCCTCCTAAATTCTTCCTTTGGGGCTCGACCTTTTTCTTCCAGGATGTGATTCTCACCCTCCTCATCCGCTTTTTCACTCAGAAATTCCACTGGCGCACTGTTGCACTGTTATCAGCTTTGGTGATTGTACCATTTAGGTAGGCTGCGCACATACCAGAAATGCCTGTCAATCACTAACCAATCTAGTTTAATCATGTCCGGAATGACCGCCGCGAATACCTCCTTTTACATCGTCACCGGTGCCGAAATTCACTGGCGACAAGCCAAAACCTTCCACCGCGATGCCGCTGCCATGCGCACATTGTTGCAGGGACTGACAGGATTCCTGATCGTGGAAGGCATTCTGCTCACTGTAGCATGGTTTCTGTCTGCACCACTGCATCGCGTTGTTGGTGGCATCCTCACAATCCTGGGACAGCCGTTCAAATGTTTGTTCCGTTGTATGAGCCGGGTTCGCGCGTTCCGCCCGAGATCTGGATTGCCGGAACCCGAGATCTACGAGCAGATCGGCGTGGATGACTATCTTGACGATAAGAGTGACGATGGCTCGTCGATCCACCTTCTCGAACCATATGGGGAAGTTGCACCTGCCACGAGACGGGGACACTCGATTCTGGTCAAGCTGGCCGTCTGGGTGCCATTCCTCAGCTTGGTCTTGCTGCGCGTGGTTCGACCCTGGGATCCCGCCTACATGTTCCTGTCAGAAGCCTTGCCGGTGGCACCCTTCATCGGTGGCCACCGACACTCCCCCGTCCGCGCTGGGGGGCTGCCAGGCGACTATGAGTGGCTGGAGAGTCGCACACCGTTAGACAAGGTACCCAAATGGGACTGGCTGCCCAAGGGAGGACTGCCCGGCTTTGAGGACTGGACCAGGACGGATGTGCCTCGGTTGCATTATAACCCCGAAAGTGATCCGTTGCATGTGCCTAACCTGCAGAATCCGGTGTTGGACCCCTTGCAGGAGGTTCTGTCCAGCGGCAACGTCAATATTAAACATGTTATCCTTATCAAGTTGGAGAGTACTCGGAGCGACGTCTTTCCCCTGCGCAAGGACGCTTTCATGTGGAATCGCATCGCCAAAACTTATTCAGATAAGAAAATCCCCGACGACGTTCAAAAGCTCGTCGCAAACCTCACCCGCACTTCCGAGTTCCTAACCGGCTTTGACGCGGGATTCGGTCACGACAACGAGCATGATTACGGCCGTCGGTCATATGGCGGCATCAGTGCCCGCAACGCTTTTACCACGGGCACCTACACCCTGAAGAGTCTTGTCGGGACGGTATGCGGAGTGACGCCATTAGTCGCCGACTTTAACCGCGAATACAACCATCACATCTATCAGCCGTGCATGCCGCATATCCTGGATGCATTCAACCACCAGGATGATGTGGATACCAACCGCACCACTGATCAATCCGACTACCGCACCTGGCCATGGCATTCGGCATGGATGCAGTCCGTCACCGAGGGCTATGATAATCAGGACAAGCTCACACCGAAGTTGGGATTCCATGACGTAGTGACCAAAGAGTCTTTGGAACAGGCAAATGCAACGCATTCCGCCTCCTCGTCGAAGGAGGTCAACTATTATGGCTACCCTGACATGGTACTGGGCGACTACGTGCGCGATGCGCTCGACGATGCCGAACACAACCACCGCCGGCTGTTCCTGACGCATCTGACGGGCACAACGCACCACCCGTGGGGAATGCCCGACAACGCATACGAGGAGATGGTGTCATCCAAGAACACCAATTCCAACGAGGATATCAACAAATACTTGAACACCATCGGATATATCGACGACTGGTTGCAGGAGATCATTGACATCCTGACCGAGAAGGGCGTTATCAACGAGACATTGCTCGTGATGGCTGGTGATCAGTAAGTCATGCTCCATTATCTGATGTGTCGTATACTAACCAGACAGTGGTCTCTCCCTTCCGAATGACGGCGGCGTCACCCCATACGATAACCCCCACATCGGCAGCTTTCACATCCCAATGGTGTTTGCTCATCCTCATCTCCCATCTATTGAAGTCAACACTCCAGTTATCACTCAGCAAGTGGTCCCTACCATCCTGGACCTGCTGATCCAATCGTCCTCTCTGGGACCCAACAGCACCCATACCGCGCAGGACCTGCTTTCCATCTATGAAGGCCAGTCGATGATCCGCGAGCTCGTCCCGGAAATGGACGGCCGCCAGAACTGGCAATTCACCGTCATGAACACCGGTGGTTCATGGCTGGCAGTGCGCTCCGCTGCCCATCCCGAATACCGACTGGTGATTCCGCTGGTGGACGACGTCGAGTGGCGTTTCACGAACGTCGAGCAGGATCCGGAGGAGCAGCACCCGGTGACGGAGTTCAACTTGGTTGATCTGGCCAAGAGGCTGGAGAAGGAACACGGCAGTGATGCAGTGGATTGGGTGCGTGATGCCGCCCATGTCGCAGAGTGGTGGGTGATGGAGAACTGGCATTTGTACCAATATCATCCTAAACATTAGGATGTTACGACCTATGCGAGGATTAGTTGAAGTGAAACATTTGTACATAGTCTTGGATGATATCATGATATCAGACATTTGCAGCATTTGGCGTTTATGCTGTATTTCACTGGCGCGCTGCTTTACCCATACTATCTTTCTCGAGATTAACTTGACCCTTTGTTATGCACCTTGCAGTCTCCTATTGACAGCGATTACCTAGAATGTCGTTACTAAGACCAATCTAAAGCCTAGTTCCTCGGCGCCCAGATCGTGATCTACCGTAGGGCCAGATGGAGATGTTTGCAGATCGTTATTCATTGTTGGTTTGACTTGGCAGTCTTGGTCACTACATTATTTGAATCCCCCATTGGACCGTAGATAGTACTGCAATTCATCATATACATGCATATACTGTACTCGGATATGGTCATCTCAGAATACATCAACAGTTCACCGCTTCTACCGTATAACAGCACATGTATGCCTCAGGCATGAGTATATCACGTGCCTCCGATAGCGGCCCCTGAACCAAACCTCACCTCAATCAAGCCAGGGATATCATCACCTCCGAAGCTTATCAGTCCAATTGCGCCGCCACACGATAAGCTATCCAGGAACACCGTCGGCCTACCTATCACCATGTGTGCTTTCCACACTAGCTTCATCCTTCGCGCAGCCTTTACCAGCTAGCTGGATGATGGTTCATGATTCACCATGAGTCATGCAACAATATCCATCCATATCAACATGATGGTCAAAATATCCTCAACATCATGAGGATACTACTACTATATAATTCACAATGACAGCCTCAATCACCATGGCCTACATACTCCCAGCGAACCATCTCCTCCCACCCTAGCCCATGACCACGACATCCATAACACTAACACAACCACCATCAACAATGACGACCACCTCCACCCTACCACCCCCCCTCTCCACAACCAGCATACTCACCCTCCTCACCACGCTCTCCCTCCCCCCACCAACAACCATCATCCCCCTCCCCGTCTCCGCCGCCTTCCACACAATCTACCTCATCCACTACGCCCCCTCCGCCGCCGCATCCGCCACGCCCCCAATCCGCGCCCGCGCAGACCCCTCCGACGGGAGCATCACCCTAGTGCTGCGCATCTCGGGGACCCAAATCCCCCGGATAAAGACCCTGAACGAAGTGGGTGTAATGACCTGGGTGCGACGGAATACTTCCATCCCCGTTCCCGCGGTGATTGCCTACTCGGCGAGTCGAGACAATCCCCTCGGGTATGAGTTTACCTTGTTGGAGCGGGTGTCGGGCGTGTCTGTTGCGGAGGTGTATGAGGGTCTTGATGAGGGTAGGAAGAGGAAATTGGTGGAGCAGGTGGCGGGGTTTGTGGCGGAGTTGCATGGTAAGCCCTGGAAGGGGGGGTATGTGGGTGGACTGCAGTTAGCAGCCCAGGGTAGTGATGATAGTGCGGAGGGGATGGAGATAGTGCGTGGTCCGCCTATTGAAGAGACGTATTGGCAGACGCAGGATGTGGAGACATATTGGGCCGGAATGGGTGAAACGCTGGAAACGCTGAATCCGTTCAAGAGTGATGGGTATGCGAGTTACACGGAGTATAATATTGCGTGTGTGGAGCGGTATATCCATGCTATTAGCATCCACCCATCACTATCGACACATAGGGATTTAATCCCTCGGTTGGAGGAGTTCATCTCAGTTATTGGGTTCGATGACAAGCTGAATGATGTACCCTATGTGTTGGCCCACAAAGACCTCCACTTCGCGAACATCATGTGCGATCCATCGTCTCCCGAATGTCCTATTACCGGCATCCTGGACTGGGAGTTTGCAAGCGTGGTGCCGGCGCCGCGGTGGAATCCGGTGCGGGCGTTCCTGTGGAATTATCGGTATGGGGTGGAGGATAAGGCGGAGAGGGATCGGTTGGAAGGGGTGTTTGAGGAGGTGTGTAAGAGTCGAGGGCAGGGGTGGGTGTTGGAGGGGATGAAGTTGAGTGAGAGGCAGGAGGGGATGCAGAGGGTGGTGAATCATGTTAGGGCTATTGTGGAGGTGGGTGTGAAGGGGGCGGGGGAGGAAAAGGAGGGGAAGGTGAGGGGGTGGAGGGAGATGGTGGAGGAGGGATTGAAAGTGTTTAATGTGTGAGTAGACATTGAAATGTCTGTATACTACATATGTACCTCTAGCAGCTCAATCCTGGAAAATTACAATTGAATGTACATGCATTAACACTCCATATACAACCCTCCATACTACATATACAGTAAGTATAATCACAATTTGGCCTCCCTCTCCAACTTCTTCAACTCCCTCCTCAAAATCTTCCCCGACGGATTCCGCGGAATACTTTCCACGAACCTGACACCTCCCCTCAACCTCTTATACCCAATAACCCTCTTCTCCACGAACTCCACAATCTCCTTCTCCAACCCCTCACCCCCCTTCCCAACAACATCCCCCTTAACCACGACATAAGCCCTCGGCAACTCACTCCCCGCCAACCCACTCTTCACCCCAACAACACCCACATCCTTCACAGCCGGATGCCCCAGCACAATCCCCTCCAACTCGGCCGGCGCGACCTGAAACCCATTATACTTGATCAACTCCTTAACGCGGTCGGTGATATAGAAGTTCCCTGCTTCATCCTCGTACCCCACATCCCCAGTCTTGTAATATCCGTCTTCGGAGAAGGATTCCTTATTCGCGGTGGGGTTGTTCAGATACCCGAGAAAGACGTTGGGGCCCTTTACCCAGAGTTCTTTCTCTTTGTTATCTCCATCGTGAATGGGATGGTATTTGGCTGTCATGTTGGGGATGAGTCGCCCAACGGAGCCGGGGTGGGTGTGGGCTTCGGTCCAGGTCTATCATTCATTCAGTTCATTAGTTATCTCTTGTTTTGTGGGATAGTAGGAAGGGGGTACGTACCTGGAAATGAATAGCAGGCGCACACTCGCTCATCCCATATGCCTGACGAACCACAAGACCTAACTTCTGCTTCGCAGCGTGGATCAAATCCACAGCTAGTGGTGCCGCAGCAGATACCACCATGCGCAAGGAGGAAAGGTCATAGTTCTTAGTGGCAGCGTTGGAGACCAGCTCCAGAATAACGGGGGGCACGACGTAGGCGTACGTGATGCGATGACGCTGAATGATATCGCAGAACGAGGGGAACTGGAAGCGCGGGAGGACGTACATGGGCACGCCGGTGTAGACGGTGTAGTTGAGGAGGAAGCCGATTCCTTCATTAACGGACATCAGTGTTTTGGGAGAAGAGGCAGGGATGGGGAAGGGAAATACCGTAAATATGGAAGAACGGCAAAATGCCTAGAATGCGATCCTGGTTCCAGACCAGCTGGCCCTGCTCGGCAACGGCACTTTGCACCATGTTCGCGACCATGTTCCGGTGCGAGAGCATCACGCCCTTAGGTAGGCCGGTTGTTCCGGAGGAGTAGACCAGGAAGGAAAGGTCCTTTTCGGGGTTCTGGATCGGGGGACGGTGCGGTGCGACGTAGTCTGTGTCTTTGATAGTCGCCCATAGTGGATCTAGTTGATCGAGGAGGATGACACGGTCGCGGGAGAGGCCGGCGCGGTCAATGGCTTCGTATACGATGGAGGCTTGCGCGGTGGTAGTGACGATGGCTTTGGCGGCTGCATCAATCAACGGATGGCGCAGTTCTTCGGCGCGATAGCTGGGATTGACTGGGCAGACGACACCGCCGATGGCCAGGGTACCCCAGATCAGCGGGGTCAGGTCAATGGCATTCGGGGCGAAGACGACGAGCACGTCGCCGGGTTGCCAGGACCATTTGGATTGGAGGTGGTGGCCGAAGTGGAGGGCGCGTTGGCGGATTAGTTGGAAGGAGAGGCTACGGTTGGTGAGAGGGTCGACGAAGAGGGCTGTATGGGATTAGAATTGTTGATATCTGGCATGATGCGATGGTGGAGAACGTACGATGGGAGAGTGGATACGGGCGATCTGAACGTTCGAAGAGAAACGACCAGAGGTCGGTGGAGGGGATCTCCACGTCGGGGAAGGGAGATACGGAGATGGTAGCCATGGCGTAGTACAAGTTGAAGATAGATAAAAGAATTGGGGCAGGGAACAGAAGGAATAATAAATATTGGACTAGTTTTATTAAGCCCGGGGCTGTCATGCAAGAAAGTGGATCATGTAGCTTCACGGGCCATCTCTTTGTTGCCTTCACAACGGAAATGAAAGCCGGCAGACTGCACTCACAGCAGCTTATCTTGAGATCGCGTTCAATATACTCCGACTAGCTGAGCTGAGTCTGTGGCGAAGGCTCACTATCCTGCCATCGTCGGTCTAGGATCAATAGTGTGGACCAACCCTAACAACATGCCGAATAAACCGCTACTCCCTTTCTTGGATAGAGGGCCAAGCAGCAGCGGGCGAAATACGATTTCCATTGGAGTGATGTACATGCACTATCCATTTCTCTGTATAGCACAATCTGCGATCTCTGAATTTCAATCAGCATTCGATGTATTGTCTGTCCGTATCATCACCAGATCATCGGTCCACCTCGGCCGCATTTTCACATGCAACGTCAGCCGCAGTCCCCATCCACAGACCAGATCTCACCCTCGACAATTGGATTGATTTGATCAGACTAACCATGGTCTTGCATAACGTGAGCTAACTAGCACAACTCAAACAATCAATGCATCCCCGAGACATAGCCAGTGTGTAACGGGCAAGTTGTTGCACCTTCCCGTGTGGTGAGGGCCGTAGCTCAGTATCCACCATGTGACTTTGTCTTCATCTAAAGGTATTGTCTGATCGGACTATTAGATGGAATTTGTCTTCTGTTCTCAAATCATTGGCAGATAGACGAACAGGTCTATGGCACGAGTCATATCTGCTCTCTCGGATATAATAAGCAGGCATTGTGAACAGTATGCACATTGATTTACGTGCTCAGCACGAAATTATACGGATTCTATGGATTGTGCTTTTATATACATTAAATCGCCTCCCATTAGTCGTCTAGTCATCCAATTATTTTTCCAAGTACTCTATGCATTGTTGGCGCACGAAAAGCTGGACCGGGAAGAGTCGTCGTGGATCGCCTTGCCGGACGCGTACAGACCAAGACCACACTACACAATTAGCAAAAACTCACATTATGATGAATGGGAGAAAACTTACCATAGCACCACCAATGGCAAAGATGAGCATGTTGATGATGGTTAGGGCGCACTTCTTCGGGCTTGACCACCACTGCCCGTAGTTCATGTGCAGCCAGTAGGCACCCGGCAGACCGAAACTGAACCAACTGGCAAACAGCGAACTGATCAGACTGACCAGGTTGCTGAAAGAGGGGATACCCTCGCCGATGATCCAAGCAATCACCCAGCAGGTCACGCCAATACCGATCCAGGATCCCACGGAGACCCAGTCGTTCTTGTGCATACGTCCCGACTTGCGGAAGATGCGCACATAGATGTACTTGAGACCAACATGTCCGTTGACCACACCAGCACCAATAATCTACACACATCAGAACAAATCCTCGAACACCGAAAGAGGGTAGACTCACAGTAGGAATGGCCATGCCGTAGGCCACCTTCTTCAAGACAGGACCAGCCGATCCCAGAGCCGGCGAGTCAACTCCATTACCCACATAGTAATAGATGACGATGGCGGCGGTGACGTAGAGAGAAATTTCGAAGCCCTGCAGCAGGCACAGCGCCTTGGGGAAGTCCTTGGGTTCCTCCATCTCGGCGATCAGACCGAAGAAGGCGACGTGGGCGCAGTAAGCAAACATGATCTGGGTCACACCACTGAATGCCGTGTACAGGTTGGTCTCGGTAGTGATGCTGATGTTCTGTCCGCCCTTGTACTGCACACCGACACCGATCATGGTGATCATAACCGCAGAGAAGATACTCAGGAAGGCTAATCCATTAGCGTCGTCCTGCATAGATGGGGAACGGAAACCTACAGGCAGTGGAGATGTAGGTCAAGTTCTTGATGGTGCGGGGCAGCGAGAGAACCAGACAGATGACGAACGCGACGATACTGAACACGATGGAGCAGGTACCGTGGTCGGTAATGGTGTTCATCATGACGGTGAAGGTGACGATGTGGCTACCCATGATGAAGATAGAGAAGAGGATCTGGCCCAGACCGAACAACTCCCGGCCAAAAGTACCCATGAGGATCTCTCCCGCATCGGCAAGGTTGTGGATGTAAGGGTGGCGTTCACGGAATTGACCAATGACATAACCAGTGTAAAGGGCGAGGATACCGAGACCGATGATGAGAATGAGAGAGCTGCACCGGTTAGTCGCAGCGCAGAAGCACCGAGGCGCTGACTTACGGAACAAGACCCAGGGCCGTCATAGTAGCCGGAAGAGACAAGACACCGAGCGACACGGATTCAGCAATCATGACTAGGCTGGTTAGTATCTCGCAATTCGCAGTTATCATTCTAATCACATACACATTCCGCATTGCCTAGTGCCATTAGCTTGTTGTCTATCACCACGCGCGACAGAAGTACTTACCACCACTTCAAGGTCTTGTACTTGACCTCCGCATTAGCTTCATCGCCAAAGGCGTCCACCTCGGGCGCACCATCGATCGCCTTGAGGTCCTCCACGTCCTCATCCTTCTCCCGCTGACTCTTGGGCTCAACCGCATCGGGCGGAGGGGCAACGCCGTCCAAACGCATCGTGACTAGAAATGGGAGCTGTGTCTAGTTGCAGATAGACGCAAGTAGCAGCAGCAGCTAAAGTGCCGATGAACGTGAAACTGATACTAAAAAATTCTCACGGGTGGGTCGATGACGATCTGGTCCTCCGCTGGCTGAGCCTCTGCAGGATGAGCTGCCGGCCACACAAAGGTCGAGGTTGAACACGGAGGAAGACGAAAGGCCAGATGAGAGAAGGAAAGGAAGAAGGAAGGAAGAACCAGAAGATAGAAAGGTAGGTAGATACCCTGCCACGTTGAATCGCGGTTACTACATCGGGGGGGGGAGCGCGGGCGTGGCTTGTCCGTTGAGAGGCCGAGGGCCGTGCCCACCCGCTAATTGCATCTGTATCTAGCTTTTTTTTTTCTCATACAATTTTCCTTATCAGCAGCATAGTTAGTTAGCCAGTATCGAAAAAAAGAAAAGGGAAGATCCTGGTGTTCCTGCCCCACAGGCAAGCAGTTTCTTTTAGTGTATTTTTAGCTGGTCGAACCA